GAACGCAAAAATGTAATCGTGCATGATTTTGTCTTTGCATGCGGTTCTAAGACATTTTATTGTTATTTCAAACAATTACTGTTACTCAAACAACAACGGTAGGCATCATGAGAGTGAGAATAAACACTAAAAAACGCTGAAAACAACTCGCAATGATCGCTTTAAGGGGGAAATATTCCCCCTCCGTTTACACATCTTGACCTTTGACCCTTAACCCCCCCAAATTGATCCTCCCGAGTCCTTTTCACGATCCCCCCCCCCATGTCCCAAATATCGTGACCGTACGTCGAGCGGTTAAGATTTGTGCCCAACTGTTGACGGACGCACGGACGGACGCACGGACGGACAATCATGCGATTCTACAAGCTGCATCTGACTACGTCAGATGAGCTAAAAAGGGGAAATTAAAGCCCTGTTTACATGCCCTTGCTGTGAGCACGGTTGTAGTATAAAAACATGAAGCCAGATAATTCAAGATATTTCTCAAATTAACCACAATTAAAATTAGGTATAGCAACACGTGAATTTCAGCAACCAAATAATTTCTCTCTCTCTCTGCCCCCATCTCCCCCTTTCTCTCTCTCTCTCTCTCTCTCTCTCTCTCTCTCTCTTGCTCGCTCTGCCTCCCTCCCTTTTTCCCTCTCTCTCTCTTTCAGCAGAATATTATTATACGTGCCTGGATCTCATAAACTCCAGATATGTTGGCAGTGATAAAGATATTATCTTTGTCAAAGGTTCTAGCCTTAAGATAGCAAATGTCACCATGTACTTGTCGCCACAATGGTGTCCTGAAGCCTTGTGGATTCACCATATCTACAAGAAAATTTTAATAGCAAATATAATCAGTGACTCATGAGATTATATAGCACAATGTGCAAGACAATGCGGACCTACAGCCGTGCTTAAAATGGATGGTCCCCTGGTTCATAGGCACTTGAAATTGCTGCAGGACGAAAGGAACTTAATTGCCATGATTGATTGCCATCACTTGCCCGAGAATGATGTACTGGTGGGGGACAAACGTTATGCCAACTGTATGCAATACATCATGTCAAATTTCAGTAGACTCAGTTGCTCTCTGTCTCCCACTAAGATACAAAATACAGGAATGCATGCGCGGAAAAGTTTACAAATGGGCCGGCAATGTATCATATATTCCATGGCCTTCTCATATTTCATGCAGCGCTTGCGACGGTAGACTGGTACCCTGTCTCTACATATAATATAGACGGGTACCACCTAATGTATAATTTAATGTTAAAACTTAAATGTTGCTATGCAACTAGTTTTGTTTATGCAAGCTGGCCTACACTAAATATTATTTTACGACTATACCAGTGTTACAAATAAAGCAATTAATCTGGGTTTTTTTATGTGGAAGTGCTTGGGATGAACTGAAAGCATCAAGAAAACAAATTATGAGTGTTAATTCAATGATAAATAAATATATCATTTACCAGAAGTGTATTCGATAGACTCAACCAAATACTTGTTCCTGTCCTGGCCAGATAGAGACTCAACCAGCTGAACTTGTGCTGCAACTACATCAGGTGTCAGTCTCACCTCCCTGTAAGCAGATAATAACCAAACATCAGGCAATGAATCGACAGTGGTAAACCAGTACAAGTATAAATACAATGACTGACCAAATACTATATACACACTTTGACATCAATTTGATGGAATCATTGAGCAGTTGCACATCTAGCTGCTGTATAAGCATAAGAAGTCTTAGGCTGGTCTTGCTAGGTGTGGATTCCCTTCCGCTGCTATTGCTGACACTTCCCCCTCGTGCCTTTTCTGTTTCATCCTAAAATTACCCAAAAGATTGTTCTCTCTATTACACTACTGACTTGTTTTCTACTCCATACATTCATTGAGGTGTCAATGTCATCCAGCCAAGAAATGGTATATGATACAGGTTTAATCAACTTAATTAATAAGGTCAACGCAATATTTTCTTAAATAAAATTTATACCTAATCAATAGATTGTAATATAATCATGACAACTTCACAATACACATTGGACGTTTACATAACAACTAATCTACCTTAATAATGCTTTCCATCAATCTGAGCAAGGTCATGTCTTCACCCTCAACAGTGGCATAGCCATCTCCGAGTATCTTTGTCAATGGGTCCCTGTTTGCTACAAGAATACAATACAATAGAATGACAACAAGCTCACAATTGTAAATATCTATTCATGTAATGTGGCACAAAGTGACCAAAGTTGCTTATCTAACTGCAACTGCTCTATTGATGATTTGCGGCCGATGCTGCCAGCTGTACCGACCCTGTTCAGCTGCTAACACTTTTACTGCATGTAGTTTTCATCCTGTTCTCTTAGATATATTAATCTCTTTAAGCACATACACTTGTCAAGTTGTAGAAAAAAGCCAGGGAGATGATATTTAACAACAAGGCGACTGAAATAACATGCTAGGATTGAAACTTTGTGCCGTGATTGACCAAGAACATAATACTGACCATATACCCATATACCTGTGCAAGGAAATCGGATATTTGCTCTTGGACAATTGAGCACCAGCTTCAGTATGCTTTATTAGATTGTATTACTAAATTAGAAAAGTGAACTATAAAGATACTTAAACCTATTCTTATTTGTTCCACCATTAACAGATAGATGAAAAAAAACTAGAGCTGTTCTACAAACTACATCTGCCTACAGCAAAAAATCTGACAATACATGACATCCTTTATTGTATGTTTAATAAGATCTTTGTACCTTCTAGGCATGCCCTGGCTTCTCTCAGTTTCTTAGTCTCTGCCACTTTTAGTACAGTGACAAGCTGTTCAATGGTCCACACATGCAGAATATTTCCCCCAATGTCTTTCTTTGTGAGGGAGAACAATGGCTTTCCAGTTTTGTCATTGACTTCACTGGACACTACACTGCCATCACTTGCAAACACAAAGATCACAATCCATTACTGCCAATTAAACCTTTATCCCAACATTCACATATTTAAATACATAATTACACACGTAAAAATAGTCTTTCATACTAAGATATCTAATCTGTAAAACCTAATACCTAATAGAGAAATGAATATAGTTGAACTGTAGGTAAATGTTAGCAGTCAATTAGGGCAATTGAGTAGAAAAACCGAGAGCCAAGGCAGTGAATCGTTGGCATGGTGAGAATATTAAGAAGAACATTAAAACCACGTATAAGTTACTGTAATTGCTACCTATTATTAGTGTTAGCCTGGTAAGTAACACTGAGATCTGCCACTGTAGTTAATTTGGTATAATATAAATTTACATCGTTTCAGCTGAAATATTATTAGTAGATACCATACATTTGAATATCAATCTGAGGTGTAAACACATACATGACTTACATGCTCTGATATCCACCAAAGTTAAATTCACTAGCTTGTAATGATGTTTCCCATTCTAATGGCAACTTAAAAACCAATTTGCTTTCTTTAACATGCTTTAGTGGGAACTCCTCAACAAATCGGATAATTGAGTTGAGGATAGCTTCATTTCTAGGGGTGAACTCAAGTCGTCCCTTTCCAACATCACTAGCTGCTGTCCAACTGGCTGCTCTATTCAAAGTCTGACCCATCTCACTGAGGAAACACGAAGGTAGATTAACATGGCACAAACAATTGAATTGGAAATGTGCTGCTTTAACGGTAACAATCAATATGCATATTTGTGTGTAGCCATCTGTGAAATCAAGTACATGGGGTGTGCGTGCATGTGCCACTGGCACTTGGGCTGTTTCAATAGTAAAATGAGTGTAAAGAAACACAAATTGTATTTACTACCAAAGTCTTAATGTTTATATGTATTCTCTATTGACTAATAATTCCATGTAATAGTAATACTGTTCAAATGTTCCTCTGCAACACAATCTCACTGCATGCACACCATCGTGCACAAATTTATAGGAACACGAGTGCTTTAACTTTGTGTGAGGTTGTGGAGAGTAGCATGCATGCAGTGAGACTGTGTGTTGCAGAGAAACAGTTGAATGGCATTTACTTGGAAGTACTACTATTATACTATAGTATACTAATAATACATAATAGGTGAAAGAAAGTAGATAATAAATATAATTCCTGTGTGTGTAAGAATGTTCGTGTGCACACGTGCGTATGATATATCTTCAGCTAGTTCAGTAACCTCATGATGATTAGTACTTAAAGTCTAAACGGACTACCAGGTAGTCGAAGAGAGACAAAGTTGATCAGTAGATGTAATAACTCACTGTAAGTGCAAGTTCCATTACAATTGAAATTACAAAGTACGCTGGCAACTAGCTCAAGACTGTTTCATGTCATAGGAGCCATGCAGTGAGAAGTGAGAAGGTACCTTGTGGCTAGCCAGCAACCTACCAAATACTAGCTTGCACAATCCTAGTTTGGGACCCTGCTAATGTGTTTTCGCACACATGCTAAATTAAACCTAGGATTGGGCCACTTAGCTAGCAGCAGCACATGCACTTGGAACCTTTCAATAATAAAAGGATGGTAAATAATGGATGGTAAACACGAAGTGTATTTACTAATATTA